CATCTACTGCACTCTATCCCTCACTTACTTAGGCCGGGTAAAAAGACAGACTCAGGATGACCGGGAACGTAGTCAGGCGCAGCAGATGACAAAATCAAGCGGCCCTTCTACGCGTGCCACGCACGACCCTGTCCCTACAGGTTTTTGCAGATGGGTGGGGATGACTCGGCTTTCACGTCAATGAAAGTGTCGCATGAGTTACCTAGTACTGGTGTTTCCAGGGTTTATCGTATTTGAGGCTTCTCCACCGACAGAGGCGCGATGACTATTTCTGGCTTATTTGCCAGCCACACTTCAATCCTGGACTGCACACTCGAGATTCGACCCTTCCGTCCGATCGGTACCATCACTAAAGAAGGCAACAATAAACACCAGGGACCGGACAAAGCAGGGCAGACTGCAGCAACCACTTATTGCTTATTCGTCGTCATCAGTCAGATCTAACAGCGGCTCTGAGACTCAGCAACCGAAGTGTCGTGGTTCGAGTCCCGGGTCTTTTTGTTCTAGGATACGGCGAGTTGGCGAAGACAGGCAATTCAGCAGAGGTCATTCGGCCTCATGCCGATTGATATACAATCGAGCGCTGTTTTCATGTCACTTAATCAGTCTGCAATTGGGAGCCAACCATCTTAGCCCTAAAAGCAGCGACCTACGGTGGCCTACGACAGTGCTGTTAGTCGGTTGATAGTTGGTACTGACAGCGCGTTTGTACCTAAAACAACATACCTTTAAATGACGTCTGTGGGAGACGCAGAAGCCACCCACTGCAACCGGCTCAGGAGATGTTGGCTAAACGCAGGAGTTAAACCGGTGATGGAGAATTTAATTGGTCAAACCCACACCTTTCCAGCAGCTGACACCCGTGTACTCTTCTTCACTAGCCCCATCCTACACGGAGAGGGCAAGGACAAATTGCCAGCGCAGACCACTTCTATGTGTATTCACTCCTTCACCTGCCTCTGTGCGGCAGAATATATTTGTCGCACGAGCCGGCGTCTGTCCAAAAGAATAAGGGAACACCTTCAGCATGGTTGGGAAAGGGCCAAATAAAGAACGTCAACAGCTCTATCCTCAACCACATGGTAGACACCGATCAATTTGTAGATGCCGGACAGGCATTCCGAGTGATTTACAAGGTCCCGTCAAGCTATCCAAAATCACTTGGACAGCGTCTGTTGGCAACAGCAGAGGCGGCTGCAATCAGGCTATACAAACCAGTTCTATGCGCACAAAAGAACTTCGTACAGGCTCCACAGTTACCATGGTCCAAAGCCACCATGCCAGCCACCTGCGTATAATTACCCGTCCCAGTGCCCGCCATTCCCTTCTCCCCCCTGACACTGACGGCAAATTTGTTTTTCACCTCACCAACTCAGACCCTCCGCTTAAACCCCAGCAACAGAATACCTTCTGCCTGCCCGCATTTTCCTTTTAATCATTTCTACAGTAATATGAATGCATAGGCTCCCATGGAGTTCCACGAATACAAAATTTGGTTGCATACCAGTGTCGCAGCACTCCGTTACTGATGCTAGTATTATTGCAGTTAGTTACCCATACTGTAAGCGTTGGTAGAGTAGCATTGGCAGCCGTGGTGGCGGTGGTAGTAGTAGTAGTACTAATAGTAGGATTATTAGTAGTATTCGCCGTATCAGTGGTGGTAGACGGGGGAAAAAGTTTTCATCAGTGTTGCGACACCGTATTCCCGCCAGTGGTAGTAGTATTAGTAGCAACAGCGGTAGTAGTGGTAGTAGTAGCAGTAGTAGTGGTGGTGGTAGTAGTAGTAGTAGTAGTATTAGTGGTAGTAGTAGTAGTAGTATTAGTGGTTAGTAGTAGTAGTAGTAGTAGTCCGCCCGTAAGACAGGCTGGTGGGGGAATAGACAATTCTAAGTGTTGCGACACTGTATTCCCGCCCAAAATTTTGAGGAGAGACAGTTCCACGATGTGTGTAAATCAGTGCTTCCCTTTGTCAACCACTGCGTCTGAGCTCACCCTGGGGCCGTTTTGGCACTGGGCCCAGGAGGGTGAGAGGAGAGGGTGCGGTAGGTGCGGCGAAAGTCTGCTTCACGCGCAAGTCACCGTTCTGAGCGTACTACCCTGTTGGGCACATGGTGGACATCGTTGCACGCGACGGTAGGCCTGCTTATTACTCAGGAGGATTGGCGCTGGAGGCATTTGTGTTCACCACTTATGCGAATAGGTGGTTATTCTGACAATTAGAACGATAGCCGCTACCACCTGGGTGCTGAGTCTCGCTAAGAAGGGCATGCGCACAGTGGATGTGCTATCTCATGAAATGTTAACCGAAATTCAGAAATACGTTTCCGACTCGGGAAGACTTCTCAAATGGGGTTGTAGTACTAAATGCCGTGCATCATAAGCCTACGATATTTAAGTCACTTCGGGATGCTGGCTTTTGGACGAACTTCTTTCCGAACTCTTGAAGAAGTATACTTTTAAAAACGACTGCCTAAGTAGTATGATCCTTTCCCATCAACCATCGATGCTCTTACAAATTCAAATATACTTTAGAGGAAACATGCACGCAAATGTTTGTTCTTTTGCTCATTTCATTTTGACGCAACTGTGAAAAGCTCGGCGCCTCAGTGGGATTCTAACCCTCATTTTGGTAACAAATTACGTATTTTTCAGATTTTTTCACCTGGAGGGAGGATGTAATTCGGTTTAAAAAACAAAACTTTCAATTCTTGAATAATTTTGAACCCGACGCACACACATCCATCAGGTTTCACTGACAAGACCAAATTAGGATGGCTTGACTGACGTATATCTAGGCTGGTGCTTTCCTACTAACCGAACTTAACTTCGCACAGGTTCACTGGCGCGCGCCGGTGACGCTCGTCTGGCCTCGCCTACCAGTCAGAGCGGTTGTCGGAGTGCGATCCCCATTCATGACAACTCCATGCCGCCAGAGGTGAAAGCCTGCGTGGATTGAAGTGGATTCGCCACCTCGTGCAGCTACAATGAGTGACCGATCTCATGAAATGTTAGCCGAGATTCTGAAATGCGTTTTCATTTAGGATAAGTTACTTAGGTGGGGTTGTAATATTAATTATCATGCGGCATATTCCTATAATATTTCGGACTCGCCAGGATGTCGGCTTTTGAATGCGCTTCTTTTAAGCCTTCCGTAGAAACCGCAGTCAGTCCCATTGATTTTCGATGGTCTTATAAATTTAAACATATTTTATAGAAAACATGCACGAAAATATGCTTTCTTTTACTTATTTGGTAGAAAATTACATTGTCTTCACATTTTATACCCGAAGAAGGGGTATAATTAGGTTTTGAAAAAAGTTTCCCAATTCCCCAATAATCTTGGGCCGGATCAGCCGTTGCATTAGCGTTTAGCGGTTTCATCCTACAAGGTGCATGCTTTCTTTGTAAGGAAAATCACACACACTTCTGTGCCTTTGAGAAGATACTTTTGCAATGGATGCGGACTATGTTGTATATTTCACGAGGAGCATTGGTGAATGGTCAGGTATGATACTGCATGAATGGACATTGCGCGCTCTTAAAAATCCCATAGTGAGAAACTTTTTTAAAACGTAACTTTACCATTTTTTCGGGTATGAAATGTAAAGACGTCATTCTTTACCAACTGATTAGAAGAAAGTTGATTTTTGTGCACGTTCTCTAAACAATATATTTGAATTTATAAAGCCATCGGAAATGAATGCGAAAAACGTATGCTGCTTAAGTAGTCATTCTTTCACTGAGTGTGGTTTCTACAGAAGGTTGAAAAGAGGTGCATTCAAAAGCCGACATCCTGGCGAGTCCGAAATATTATAGGAATATGCCGCATGATAATTAATATTACAACCCCGCCTAAGTAATTTATCCTAATCGAAAACGAATTTCAGAATTTAGGCCAACATTTAACCAGATCCGTCACTCACTGTAGACATTCTGTGCAAGTGGCGATCAGTCAGAATGAGTGCGCATCCCGGAAACCCTATTCAAGTGCTCTAGTTTTTGCTCACTTAGCCGTCTATAGTATCGGAAGCCTGTGCGGACCGTTACCTACTAGACCATAGCGCGAATTGGGCCAAATCTATTGTTGGATGCGGTCGTGTCGTGCCAAGTTTAAGTCTCTAATCCCGCCTGAACCCTAAGCAGGGGGAACATAACTCTCAAGGCGGTGGCTGACTTGAATACTTTGATAGCCGACGCCATTTGCCATATCTAAGACGCAATTCGAATTATTGATTTTTTTCCCGATTACTAACTTCATGCTCTTTGGATTCCCCCTCCCCACCTCTGATTTCAGACGTCCACATTACATTCCACTCGTAAACTAATAGTGAGCAAGTCACAACCAAGCCTACGATCGGTATTCCGTCTTTCGCAACTGGAAAACCAAATAATGCTTGCCGTTTGCCTATGCAAATGTCAGTCTTAACTCCTTACCTCTGTGTGTTACAGAAGTCGAAACGGTCGCCGGTCAGACCCCCAACTGGGCATGCATCCGCTACAAACTGGGTACACAGTTGATTACCTCGACTGACGGTGACTCCACCGGAGCCGACGCGGAGGTGGTCTGCGTGCGACGACTGGGGATGCAGATACCGTATCAACGCAACTGTGCCTTTCTCCTTGGAGGTCTAACACTCGTCGACCCAGATGCCAACTGGTTGTAACCAGGCCACCTCCCCCTCCTCCCCACCCTCCTCCTCCTTCTCCTCCTCCTCCTCCTCCTCCTCCCCCTCCTCCACCCTACTCCTCTCTTTGCCATAAATCCTAAAAGATTGTTTGCGTCTGCCTGCCAGGAAGGGGACTCTTCAAGTTCTCTCCACCAACCTGTGCTTCACTCCTCCGGTCTTTTATTTGGACTTCCGTCCATTTAATCCAACTGTGATATTTTCGTTGGGATTTACTCGAATAGACTCCTTTTACCTCCCTCTTGAATTCTCGCCTTTTTTTGTTTTTCCCGCTTCTGTTCTTCTGCATGCGCGTGTGCCCTGCCGCCTTCTTCTATGATGACACAGAAAAAGGCTAGTCCCGCCGCACCTCCAGTAGACCGGGATGGCTGTTTATGCCGCCAGCAGGGGGTAGGTTTCTCCCGTCAATATGCGGTGGGGACTGTGATCAGTGAAATGGTCTTTGCGAGCAGCAGATTTGACCCCATATACAAGAAGCCCTGTTTGCCCCTTGGCGCAAGGACAGAGATTCACCTCTATCAGCCGCTGTTTCGGTGAATGCTTGAGGCGTGCCGCCACTTTTTTGAAGCTTTTATCAAAAAGCTGATTCTTTCGAGGCCAAAAGTAATTGTTCATGCGTCCCCGCCCCCCGGGCGCATTACCCGCCGGATTCGACGCACGGTTCATGAACACTGCTGCTGCTCTCGGAAGTTTCCTGTACCAACCAAACAGCTGTGTTGCACGTGTGCTACCTGGGGTCTACCGTACGTCAGCCACTGCGTCCTTGCCGATATCTCATCGTCTCGGTCCACTCTTGCCGCAGTACGGGAATAGGGATACCGTGCATGTGAGGAGAGTAGTGTTGGCACAGCGGTGGTGGTGTTGGTGGTGGTGGTAGTGGTGGTGGTGGTGTTGGCGGCGGCGGCGGCGGTGGTGGTGGTGTGAATAGGGATACCGTGCGTGTGAGGAGACGGTAATTTAAGTATAGCGCAAGTCGCTTCTCTGTAATCGATAGTGGACGGCGCTGTTGGTGGTGGCTGAGGTGGTGATCTTTTTTGGCTGTCACGTACAGTGGGTGATGTGTTCACTAAAGTGCCAACTGAAATTCCGCAATCTGCTTTCGATTAGGAAGGGTTACTTAAGTGCGGTTGTAATGACTGATTATTATGCAGCAGGATTCCAAGGCATTTCTGTCGCGCCCGTATGCCGGCTTTCGCATGCACTTCTTTCGGACCGCCTCCGAAAACCGCACTCTCAAAATTGATTTTTCTCATGTAGTACTACTAGTTTTTCCCTTTTTTTCGATGCCTTTGTGAATTCAAGCGCACTTTGTAGAAAACGTTCGCAAAATATTCCTTTTTGCACCCACTTAGTCGAAAATTGCGTCATCTAATTTCTTATTTGAAGAATGATTAGCCACCAGTTTAAAAAGTACATAGATGCCGAGATAATTCTGAGCACGACCTGCCGTCGCGCTTGCATCCAAGGTCTCCGAACCACAAGCTGCACACCTTCCATCTAGGGAAAATCATGCATTGCCCTATGTTATTAAGAAGATGCCATATAGAGTTTATAAAATTTTGCAATGAATATGAACCATGTTGCATACCTTAGAAAAGCCTTACTAAACCGACTGAGACGGTCTTACAAAGTCCCATTTGTGCAAACTCTTATAACCGAAACACGCCATTTCTTTGAGCATAACATTTAAGAAAGACATGATTTGCCTGTCGTACTAAAGGAATCGTAAATCTTCGAAATGATCGTGCTACTTAAGTTGTCATTTCTTCACAGTTTGCTTTATGCAGGCGGCCGGAAGAATGCGCATTCAAACGCCGACATCCTAGCTTAACTGAAATGTATTTCTTCCAGTTGTAAAAAGCATTTTTGAAATTGGGATACGTCATCTACTGCTCACACTACTAAAATCGTAGTTTTCCCCGACGCAATTTACTTAGGGAGCTGAAAAAAAAACACCCAAGAACCACCATACTCTATTGCGCGAATGTATTTGAGATTGTTCCACGTATGGAGGCTTCAAAATCTCAGTAAGGTCATTTCCCCGTCAATGTTTCCCGCATTTCCACACATGCTGTGCGCTTATTCTGATATCGACAGATTTCCTAAAGTTCGCTTCAAGAATTTATTCGATAACTGCAAGCCACTGGTCATGTCTCCTGCGAAAACCTAGCACCTAAATCTCATTTAAACCATGATTTTCCGTCCTTTTAAGTTGTTTCTTTTCGGAGGACATACTACGGAAACTGTTTAAAATTGAATTTCTCCGTCCATTCTATTTATAAGAACACTTTTTTGTGCGTCTGAATGTATATGAGTGTATAGAGTGTTCTCACAGCACTCTGATTTCTCAGTCGCAGGCGTTTGTTAATTTTCGCACACGCGCGCACGGTTATCTTAGTTTCCCCACATCTGCAGGGCTTTTCAAACCTCTCTTACGTAGGATTGCGCTCAATCAGTGCAGATTCTGGCGCCTCCAGTTGTGATTTAGACTCTGTTTCTGTGAATTTAGATACTACCGGCAGAGAGGCTGGCCTTGGCTCGGGCCTTGGCTTCGCCGACCTTGCAGTCGGGCTGCCTTCCACAGATCTTTTTCCGCCTCACCTCTACCACCTCAGACACAGATGCTCCACTCGGTTTGGCGGCCAACCGCCTCCTCTTCCATGTGCCGCGTCTTCGAAATCCCCTGCGTCGGGGCGAGGGTCTCGGAGGTGCGGTGGCCGGTCGGCTCTCCTACCTGCGTCGCTGCGTCACCGCGCTGGTGGACCAAGAACGCATAGAGTTGCCCTGGCCCGTTGCCACGGAGACGCGGCAGTACTGCGAACGGCTGATTCAGGAGGCTCTGCGGACAGAGCTGGTGACGGGTGATTTGTCGAAGATTAGCGACTTGGAGGAGCTCTTCGGCCCCCGCTGGCAACAGGCTCCGGAACTGAGCGCTTTCCTGGAGCTCTCGGCCTTTTGGCTGCAACGACCAGAGCTCATCACAAAGATGCTTAAGGTGTGATTCTCAAACATTTCGCATTTGTTTTGACCTGATTTACATCCTGCCTACTTTGCCGTGTCTCCTTATTACTCGAATTTCAGTCTGTGATCAACATCCATCAACAGCTGTTGTCTGATTGGGAAAACCATTTTGCCTGCAAAAAAGTGACAGACTATATTCTGGACAGTTCGATTCCGACATTTTGACCGTCGTTGCCGACGATGTCCACCGTGTGCTCCACCGAAAGCTGAAGCATACAGGGTGACTTGCTCGTGAATTAGTTTATAGTAGATGTAGACTTGCGCAGCACCTACCACACCCTCTCCTCCCCGCTCCTCACCTGGACCCGGTGTCAAGACAGAGTCAGGAATACCGGAGGCGGAGGAAAGCGCAGGTGGACGGCGCCGTCGAGCCTGCGCCTTGGCGTTCCACTCCATACCCCCTGGTCCGCGCAGCGAATGACCAGGTTTTTTGACCGTCAACAACAACACCCCAACAGGGGTCAGAAGGACGAGGATGATGGCTGGACAGCCATGTCCACCACTTTTATACCCAGCAAAAACGCAAGCGCATTAACCGGCAGGGAACCAGGTGTCAGGGAACTGCCAGCGCATGCAAGGCTGGGATGGCCATTGTTTTCTGATACTGGCGTAGCACACGCATACGAACCTTTTGACCCAGAAGGTCGACACGTGGTCCTGCATTTAGCCCGGGCCGTCACCCTTCAAGGTTGGGTAACCGAACAGTCATCGACTGAGACGCACTACCCATAAGGCAGTTCGATCCCACTCGAGTGCACGCTCACACTCTCAGTCCGTCCCACATTTAGATCTGGGGGGGGCCTCTGGACGAACTGTGGCAAAGAAAAAGGAGGCTGTCCTGGCGATAATACCTGCGGAGAATCTTTTGACATTTCAACCATTAGTTTCGACCATGTCCACCGTGTACACCGCACAGCAAGGTGAAAACGGGGACGGTGGCTTACGCCGGAATTAGTTCATAGTGATAGTAGGCTTGCGCCGCATCTACCGCACTCTCACCTCCACTACCTGGATGCGGTGTCAAGACAGAGTCAGGAAGACCGGAGATGGAGGGAGGGCGCAGGTGACTGGCACGGCGTAAACCCTCACCTAGGCGTACCACCCCCGGTCCACTTAACCAGCATTTCAAACAACAAATAATGGGAGGACGGCAGAGACCTCAGTAAACGTAAATCCGCAACTGTTCCTGTCGGCATTTGTCATGGGTACGCATTCCAAAAGACGCTTACCGTAATCCGATGTAGCCCCCGTGTCGGTCCAACGCATCTACCATGTCTACCGTTCTGGGGTGCACGGGGAATCTCTTACTGGAGCATATACCGCCAAGCACATATTCGTGTAGTTCCTATTGCTTTCACTGCATCCTTAAACCTGGTTGGAACTGGCGCCAGGAGACCTCCGTAGACGCTGACCAGGACCAGTGCGTCTGTACAGGAGGGCGCATTATCAGCTGCCAGATAACCGCCGTTCGACAGGGTTGTATCCTGCCACCCCTTCTGTTCAACTATGCTATGGACTGGATCCTCGAGAGGTCTCTATACGAGGGTGACGGCTTTGAGTTTGCACCCGGACACCGGCTGACTGATCTCGACTATGCCGATGATATCGCCTTACTTGCTCCAAATTTTGGTGATCTGCAGTCTGCGGTGTCACGGGTGAACGAGGTCGCTAAATCGGTCCATAAACGCTGGGAAGACTAAAGCGTCTTCAAGCTGCATCCCTGACCAGGAGAAGGCACTCCTCGGGATTTATGGCTGTCAACTTGAAGAAGTGGACAGTTTTAAATACCTCGAGGCGAGGCTGCTGCCTAATGGACAGAGTAAGGACGACATCGTCTCCAGAACCAATGCTGCCTGCTGGGTTTTCTCAAGCCTTCGGAAATGCCCATGGACCCGACCTGACCTCTCCATCGCCACTAAAATTAGCGTGTACCGTGCATCTCTCCGGCATGTCCTTCTCTACGGTTGTGATTGCCGGGCTGTACGTGTGGAGGACGAGCGAAAACTGGAGGTATTTGACCACCACTGCTTGAGGACCATCCCTTGAGTGAAGTTGACCCACTTCGTCTCAAATGGGACAGTCCGCGCTCATTGCGACAACATCGCAAGGATAACTCAGGCCATCAAAGAAAGACGACTGAGGTGGTTTGGGCATGTTCTGCGTCGTCCACCTCAGGAGCTCACTGTTACTGCCCTTGATCCGGCACCATTGCCCCATTGGAGGCGTCGAAGAGGGGGTCAACTCAAAACCTGCCTAGACACAGACAGTCAAGACATGGAGGTGGTTCTTGGACCTTCGGTATTCGGTCTACTTCGTTGGCGAAGGGAATGGGTTGGGCTGTCCAGATCTGCTGCCGCGGATCGTCACGCGTGGCGAGGTACAGTTCGTGACATCAGCGAGGCTGGCTAGACCAGGCATGATCGCAGCCGTATCAAGTACAAGTAACCACCGTAGCGAAAGCCAACCAGCAAGATAGCACAATCAACGGAACTGCTTTCAACAATGAGCAGCCCATGTCGGCCGGTGTACGTGCAACACCTGCGACTGCAGTGCGAGACACTTCGGATGGAGAATTCGGTGTGGCAGGTGTGAAGCCTTGGGTCCAAGTACGCTCCATCAGTTACATTTGTCACAGTCCCACTGTGGAATCTGTCCCTTCCGGTCGATAACCCTTTAGGTTGTCGCCACCTCCCCCCCTTGCGGTGATGCGAATGAGGTGCCAATTTTGGGATTTATCATGCAAACTCGCCTTAGCAAATCGAAACAGGTAGGCCCGATTTACTGAAAGAGGTTTAGCTAAGATACCCCTTTTAAAGAGGAAGTCTAATCTGTTCAATTCACTGGTAATGTTTAAACTCAAAATTCCTACAGTCACCCCCAGGGCGTGCATTCTAACTATCACAGCTTCCCGCGTATTCCAGGTTCTGGTGCCACGCTACCGATTCTACAACCGCCCCTTCACCCAACTCTATCGACTCCAACGGCCTCCCTACCCCGACAAGTTTGCCTACATTGCCCAGGGCTTTGGTGTCCTCGAACTGCATGGGAACCCCTGGCCGCCGATTGGTGCTCCCCACTTGCCCAAACCGGTCGCCGCCGCCACCGGCTCCCCTATCTCCACGCAGCCCTTCAAGGAGAAGTACTTTATCAATATCCTGGTGAATGCAGCACGCCAGGCCAACGCCCAATCAAAACGGCGCTCCTATCCGCACTCGTAGTACGGACCAGTTTTGACTGAACTCTCTCTCCCTCCCTGTCCATCCTTCCTTCAACACAGCCCTTCATCACAGTACCACGCGAATTCAGCTAGTCCGAAAGATGCCTTTTTTATCGCAAATACAGCATTATGTGTGTATTCGGATGTGTGGATTTGTTTTCTTTTATCGTGCGATTTGAGGATTGGATGTTAGTTTTGATGCTTTTGACTTTTGCCTGATGCCCTTTTCCTCTCATATCCGGTTCCTCTCTCCTTGCCTACCTTGAAAAGATGTCGAGTGCTCTGCACGGACACTATTAATTATTCAGTATGTTATTACCGACAAAGATTGGAGTTTAGAATCGAGGCTTTTACCGGCAGATACTCTCCGACCGTTGGACAGTCGGATGGCGGTATGCTATTACCGACAGAGACAAAGGAGACTGGAATGGTCACTTCTGGCTTAGTAGCCGTCGTCCGCCAGTCACACCCGACCCCGAAGTGTGGCACACCCGAGGCTCGAACTCGCGACCTGTTAGTTAGGGGTCCAACGCCTCTAACCACTGGACCACGAGCCCGTTGACCTGCCGCTTTTTCGATCGAGAATATACAATGGTAGGGGACGCTCACCGATAGTTTTTACGGGACCCACTCGTTCCGTTGTGCCTTACGGGCTCTCTCTCGAGTCCAACCAGCAGCCGCACAGCGGCGCATGATATAGGCAGAATGGTATAACCAACAAAGACAAGGGAGACTAGAATGGCGGTAATAACATACTGCCTACATCATGCGCCGCTGTGCGGCTGCTGGTTGGGCTCGAGAGAGAGTCCGTAAGGCACAACGGAACGAGTGAGTTCCGTAAGAGTTATCGGTGAGCGTTCCCTACCACTATTAATTAGTCTTTATTTTAAAAAGTCGATTGACTCGACCAATAAGAGTTTTTCTAATGCGAAACTAGGTGTTGGCTCGCCTGGATGCCGCTTTTAATCCCGACTCAGCCTAATGCTGGCAAACTGCATGGCATTTAAATCGGGTAATAGGGATTTCCCGCTGTCCTCGAAAGTCCGGTGTTTGGCCATTCAGTTCTAGCCTCATTTTAGATGATGAGCATACACATTTCCCCGTTCGGCTAGGGGTACAGGAAGGCCTCGGTGGTCCCCAGTTTGTTGTGACCCATACTGAACATTCACAGGTGAACCAAGCTGGTGTTGTGCAATTGCTTATTTTCTCTTAGTGATTTCAGGCAGCTTCCCCCTTTTAATGAGTTCGCCCGTAGCAATCCACGAGCCCATCGTTGTTCTTTGTGGTGAGCATGATGGTTGTTCGCCGGTATATGAGGAGGCGGGCCCGCATCGTGTCCGTCGCGTTTCACTAAGGAGGCGAATTTATGATGGCCAGAGATAGACGGGGTCACCTCGTCTACACGTGCCGCACACGCGCTGGCCCCAAACCTTTGCTCAATTCGGTCATTCTCGAGGGGTCTCAGATGTTGCGCAGACAAGAGTACCGTGAAGGTCACATTAAGACAGGATCTTTGCTGTCTGACCCTCGTTGCAAAGGGTGCTGGGGTGTCCTATCAGCTTACAACCCTCTAGGCCACGTCTGTTAGGACGTCGTGATTTCAAAGCGCGCTTTATTGTTTGAAGTGGAGGGGGGGATAAGTTATGAATGCGGGCTGAATCAAACTCCATACCGACATCAAGTCTACACCAATCCGACTTTGAATAAAACCGCACCACCGGCTGACGATGTGAAGTCACCGTCCGACTTACGTCACGCGAAAAGAACTTATCATAAAGTTTGCGTAAGCAGTCTCAAGACGTCCTGAGAGAAGCAGAGTATTAATGTCTTTTTGGTCCTCCGCGCAGAGCGATTGCAGCATCAATTCCACTTTCATTCGGCGATTATATCAATTAGCGTCTGAGCCGGCCGAAAAAATCGGCGACTTGTTTTTATATGACAACCTTCGTCCAGCAATATCATCTGGCGATAGAGGTGAGTCCCGGAAAACAGTTTCGAAGAAGTGGACTCTATCGCGGAACAAGGAACTTTCTGGCCTGGTGCTTCAGATTCTATCTCGAACCCACCGCTGGGGACGCAGGAGGTGCAGTATTTATAGAACGTAGTTGCCATGCCACCACATGCCTACTATAATTAGTAACCTCCGCGTTCATCGCTGGAACTCGTATTTGGCCCACACCTCAGTCGCTAATCGCCGTAATTCGATTACCGTTGTGGAATCTTGGCGGCAAAGAGTGTCAAAGGCGGGGAGCCAACTTCCTCAGCAATTATCACAGCGGGGGTCACCGGTTGTCTCATTAAGTAACAGTTATGTGCTTCCTGTCCAGTTAGAGACAAAGTGCGTTAATCATCCAGATATCCGATATGTGCTTGCTTTAGGGTTGAGCGCGAGCGACGTTTCCCCCCCCCCCCCTCCCCCCTCCCTCGTGTCCTGACGCATAGCGGGGACTTGGACGGTGACTTGCTCGTGAATTAGTTTATAGTGCTGGCAGACGTGCGTCGTATCTGTTGCACTCGCTCCTTCCTCAGCCAGGTGGGGGGAGTCAGGACAGCCTCGGGTGCTGTGTCTGACAGAGTCAAACAACCCGTCTACGCGTGCCACGTCTGCGCACTTTGGGGCAGGTTTTCGCAGAAACGGGGGACGGCTCGGGTGCCATGTGAACGGGAGCGCCTTGGAGGCCGCATTCACAAGCAGCCGATCTCTCCGTCCTGAGAGGAGGGCCGAGCTACCCTGTCCCCGTAGCCCTCCAAGTCACAATCTTTAGCGCGTCATATTTTTTATTGCGATGAATGCGTTGAAGTGCCGTGTGAATAAATTCCACCCTTACTTCCTCCCTCGTGCGTCAATTGGCTGTCCGAGCTGGTCAGCTATCTGATGCTGAGATTTCCCACAAGTGACTGACAAAGCTAATCACCCCGTCTACGCTTGCCACGCGCGATCTGACCTCCACTCGACACTGCTTTGACGCCATTGTGGGCTGGGCCTGCGTGGAATTTCATGCGAGCATTATTAAAGTCGACGGAGGTCATTCATACCATACCACACTTTTAGTAGGCTTCCTGTCTAAGAAAAGCCTTAAACAACCAAGGGCTGGGGAAACTTCTGTCAAGCACTACTTGACAGGCGGTTCGGTAATCCAGACCTGAGATTTGGTATGACTGGCTGGCTGACAACAACTTATAGGCCAAAAATGATCATCCGCCAAGGGTGTGGTATGTAACCTCCTGGAAAAACCATAGTTAACTGCGACCCTAACGCCAACCACGGCCATGGCTCTAACGGGGAATCCTTACCCTTAGCCCGTAACCATTTAAGGAAAACCCGAACGTAATCCTAACCAACAGAAGCGAAAAGACGAGTCCCAGGAAGTAATCTTGAAGAATGAGACACTACCGTTGGGACAAGAGCTTTATTAGCCTGACGTTTCGGATTCCTACTCGAACTCATCATCAGAGACAAAAACAGATACGGGTGTTTCATGCATATGCGGCTGCAGTATTTATAGGATGCAGTCGTCATGCTACTGCATACCTATGAACACTCACGGCTCCCCCCTTCATCCGGGATCTTCGCACTTGGTGTGCTAAAAATTTGATGGCCGACATTCGTGTCGTTAACTGCTGCAATTTCATCACGTGCGTTGGACGTTGGTGTGATGATTGCTCGACCATCTGACGCACCGACTCTGGTGTTGGGAGTAGCGTTCACCTGTTCGCTCCCCGAGTGGCTAATTACTCCGCCTAAGCGAAGTCTCAGCACCGGCCTGATAACCTGGGCCCTAGGAATAACCCAACTCCTAGTACTAACCCCGACCGTATCCCTAGCCCTGAGCCCGATCCGGACAACTTTGACGTCAGTAACGCTAGCGAAGATCAAAATCTGCGTACCGCATGACTCCTTTGCCTACCGTCTGTTAGGAAAATTGTTATGAACCGCGGAATAACGTTGCCGACGAAGGCAGGGGAGACTGAAGTGACTTTTCTGGCTTGGACGTCGTCAGCTAGCCACGCCGAATCCTGAGATGTGCAAACTCTGGGACTCGGTCCTGCAACCTGTTGGTTAGAAGTCCAACGAACTAACCACTGAGCCACGGGCTCGTTGTACCGTCGGTTGCGATCGGTATATTAACAATGTTAGATCGGGGTTCAGCGGTCGCGCTACGGAACCCAATCTTCCCGTTGTGCCTTCAGGTCACACCACACCTACCTAAATAAGATGAGGAGGTAGATTTCTGAAAAACCGCCCAAGGGGAATTTACGTACCCCATCCTTACCGGTCTTAGCGCTCTACCATTTAGCCACTAGCCACGAGCGCTAGACCAAATAACATTCAATGACCAAAGAATCGGGGTTCGAATTCAGCTTCCTGCGAAATTTGGGGTTCGGTAAGACTGGCTTAAGACTGTTCGTAAGTCAGAGATGGCCAGCCCTGTCTCCTTTGTCTTTGTCTTCTCCCGCATATATACATATGTGGGCCACTAATTTCCGAAATTACTGCCCTCGTGTTCATATTAGAAGCCTCATATAGAATGCTGGGGGGCCCACTGAGGAGCCGAGCCCCTAGTTGTTGCATCATGCGAGTCTGGGCTTTTAGCTGGTGCCTATGTTGGGAGTATGAGAAAAACCCTTGTTGGTGAACACACTTCCAGCGTAGTATTCCCGATCGCAAATGGCAGGACAACTAACCCTAACCCTTGGCAACATTTACGTCGGTAACGCTAGTGAAGGTCAGAATCCGCGTATTGCATGGTAGTTTTCTCAGGAAAGTTGTTATGAACCACAGAATAGCATTACTGACAAAGACAAAGGAGACTGGAATGGCCATTTCTGGTTTATTAGCCGTCGTCAGGCAGCCGTACCTAACCCTGAGGTGTGCAGGCCCTTGGGCTCGGTCTGGCGACCTGATGGTTAGAGGTCCAACGCCTCTAACCACTGAGCAATGGGCCCGTTGTCCCGTCCGTTGCGATTGGGTGCAAAGAAGGGTAGTGGGGCGCTCACCAG